TGAATTGCAAATTGAAATGAGCAATTATGTGTTTCGGACAAGATTCCACATGTTCAGATCAAACTGACAAGAAAGATTAGAGCTAAAGCTTTGAGAGGTAGAGAATAGGCATGAAGATCTTGATGAAGAAATGATGGAAGAGGACTCGTCATATCGACCCCCTCCTCTCTTCAATTATGATGATCACACCCTTGTTCAGAAGCTTGAATGGAACACGAGATCCATCAATTGGAGATTCAACTGAATTGCCCAACTCCGAGAAAAAAAAGCCTAATGTCAAAGTGGAGCATAGGACTTCTATGGAAAAGAAAATGAGGTAAGGGAACTCGACTAATTCTTAGCAAAATAAATTGTATTTGTCGAGTCCCCTGCGTATGATCAGTATGACAACTTTTCGTCTGAATCTTGGAGAAGACACATGGATCTTCATATCCTTCTCCGATCAAACAAACTCAATTTCTTAGAAGCGTAAGAGAAATTTAACCTTCAATCCCAAGAAGAGATGGAGCAATTGAGAATGTTGAAGCCACATCAAGTTGTTCAAGAAAATGAGATTTATTCAGAACTTCCTCTAGAAGATTCACCAAAACCGACACCATCATAGAAACCTAAATACAACACAATTCTTCAAATGCTTGATAGGGCTACTATGGTGATGTTACCCGAATATCCTACAAGCCAAGTCCCCATGAGCAAAGTTGTGCATAGGGTGGAACCAACTGAGGGACCTAACTCAGAAACACCTACACCTACTCAAGAAAAGGAGGAGGAAGTTGTTCCAGTGGTAATAAACAGCCCTCTCCTTAACTGTGTTCAAGACTCAGCTCCCGAGGAACCTATTTTAGAGGAAATAGAGCCTGAAACCTACCCCCAAGATTTCAACATTGAAGAGTCTATAGACAAGGAAATATGTTGCAAAGAAGAACCAACTCCGTCTACAGAATCTTGTCAAAATTATGCTTTACCAGAAGATTCTGATCAAAATTTCTTTGCATCCTTACTTGAAGGCTGTGACTATGCCTACCCGGAGGATGGTTGTAGCCAAACAAGTTGTGACGAACTTCTGATGAGTACTCTTCCATGGGGGTAAGTAATGTCGTAATCATTGAGCTGCAAAGGGATAGTCAGCCCTGTTGAAGATAAGGAAGAAATCGATCTAGCAATAAAGGCCAATGATGTGGATATACTGAGGTGACGCCCACCACCAACCATCTATGACTCTTAGATTGGGAAGTCATAGAAAAGTGGCTGAGCGTCAAGCCACGGACGTAAAAGAAGCGCTTAACGGGAGGCAACCCGTTATTCAAAAGAAAAAAACATAGTTTTTGAAGTTATGCTTGTCGCACCAGTTGTGGGGGCAAGTGTTATTTTATTTTTTTTCTTGCATATGAGAGGACCGCATGGCATTCCTTGCAGGGCATCAAGCTTTCTTTCCAAACAGAGGAAGCAAAGTAGAAGTTCCGCACCTGGGAAACACAAAATTTTTGCAGCCTTCGATTCTTCTTGATCTAGCAGTCCTAGTTGAAATGGTCTACTGAGAGGATATAGATGCCTTCATCTCCTATCCGGACTTTTTGATGAGAAATTTACCTAAATAGAACTAAAACATAATGACTTTCCCAATATAGGACAATATGTTTTTATTTCCCAATGTAGAACCTTTGGTCATTATCACGAAGTCATTATTCAACTAAATGTGCATCATTGCTGGACATTATTCCTTCCACTAGGTCATTATTAAGTCCTATTTATGGAATAAAAAAGTTTAAGTCTTACATTAGGAAAGTCATTATGTTTTAGTCCTATTTAGTGCAAATTTCACCTTTTTGATTTCCATCCCTCAGTAACTTGTCTTTTTCTGACATTTATCTCTACTATTTTGAACATGATTTTGGTGATTTAAAATTGATTTTATATGAAATTCTTGGTTAAGACTCTTTTATATGCAATTAATCTTTATGATTCTGATTAATTACTATTTCAATCTTCATCGTTGAATCCTTTAAGTTTGAGGACAACCTAGTAATTGCATGTGCACATTTCCACCATAAACTCTTAATCCAAAATACTTTTTGACCACGAGGGCGTGCAGTGGCTCCATTTAAGTGTAAGAAGGTAAGAGCTTCTAGTTAAAATGATCTCTTTAGAAATTATTTTGTCTATATATTTGTAGAAAAAAGATTTTATATAATAGTCATCAACTTTATTTGTTCGATTAAAAGATTTTTAGTTATCACCATTAGAAATTGAAAATTTTTAACATTTTTTGTCAAGCTTCTATTTTCTTTTTAATCGTTTGAGAATGTTTTCTGAAATGATTTGGGATAAATTCGATTGCTTAAAGAAGATCAAACGATTTATAATTGCCTTATTGTGAATTTTTAGTGAATACTCTTTTACCCTTTGGAATTTGAGTATTTGTTGCTTCTTTAAAAAAAATTCCAAAATGTAAATGGATGTCTTTTAGAACAAATTGCATACTTTGGTGAGATCGAGAATTTTATTTTAGCCAAAAGTAGTTGGTTGTGTATCAATTGATGAGGCTAGAAGTGTATGTTAAAAAGCACGCGATTCGGTATCGCATGATGAGGCCTTTTGATTGCTAAAGTCAAAAACATGTGGTTCTATGTCGCGTGATTAGACTTTCCAGAGCGCCTATCAAAAAAATTCATGGTTCTATATCACAGGATGATGATAGAAATTTTTTCAAAAAGCTCCTAGTTCTATATCACGGGATGAGGATAGCAAATTTTCTTATATCAACATGACAAAGTTATGCTTAAAAATAAACCCTTACATCTTGGTAATTACTCTTAGAAGAGTGTGTTTGGTGGGATAATGGATGCAATTGCAAAATGAAATGAATCGCTCAATGTAGTCACTACTTTGATGAAGGATATGATAAAAACAACTTCAAATGCTCACATATCAAAGTTTGATATTGGAGAAACAATGGAAAAGTTTTGTTGTTTGTCTAATTTGTCACACACATCTCCTCAGTTTTTATTTGCTTGCTCCATGATTGAAGTTCAATGGCAAAGAACATTTTTCTTTTCGTTGCCCGATGACACTAGTCGGGTTGAGTACTTTAAGTTTATGTACAAGCACTCGGGAATGAGTCCCAATTGAAGTTTTGTAATGCATTACATAATTCTAAATTTTGTTAAGAGTCGTACGATATGAACTTTTATCTTGTTTTGTAGTACTAAAATACTTTAAATACATGTTGAAGTTTGTCATGTTATTTCTTTTGTATTGGTAATATTACTATTCTTAGACATACTTTTTATGCATAGAGTACAATGGAAATAATGTTGTTCATTTAATGAGCACCTTTTTGTGTGTTGGTATGGACACTACAAAAATGAAAAGCACACTTCTCTTATTGTTAGCATATTTAAAACAGGAGGATGAGTTCTGTGATATGATCTCTTGTGTAGCGGGTTACATGAGTTGGGTTTGTGCAGATCAGATACCTAAAGAACGATGTATGACTTCTTATTTAATAGGTGAATGATGGGTAAATGAGTTATTGAGTGGTCATGACAAACGATGTTTTAATGCGTTGAGAATGAACCAAGTTACATTTCGTGAGTTATGTCAACAATTAGAGGTGAAGTATGACTTAAAATTGTCAAATAGGATATCAGTTTTGGAGAAAGTTGCTTTGTTTGTATTTGTATTGAGCAAAGGTGCTTCTAATAGAGATACACCAGAGCATTTTCAACATTCTGGAGAAACTGTGAGTAGAATTTTCAAAGAAGTTTTGAAAGCAATGGATAGATTTTCAAGGGATCTAATTACACCTAAAGACCCTGAGTTCAAGAGCATTTCACCATAAATTGCCAATGATGATAGATATATGCCACATTTCAAAGTATAATCATATTATATTATAAATGTGACTATTTAAGCTACTAACAATATCAATTTTATGTATTCATTAGGATTGTATAGAAGCTATTGATGGTACTCACATCGTAATAACAATTCCTGAATACGAGCAATTACGTTACAAGGGAAGGAAAGGAATACCAACTAGAAATGTATTAGTAGTGTGACTTTGATATGTTATTCACATTCGTTTTAAGCAGTTGGGAGGGATCAACACACAACTCCCGAATTTTTCTAGACACTATCAATCATGCAAGTCTCAATTTTCCACATCCACCTCAAGGTAATTATAATTTTTTTATAACGTTATATTCACAAATTAAATCAACACTTTTGAATTGTATGCAATTTTAGGTAAGTATTATTTGGTGTATAAAGGATATCCTAAAAGAGCTTGATATTTAACTCCATATCAAAAAATAAGGTACCATCAGTCTGAGTTTCGTGGCGCAAACCCAAGAGGAAGTCAAGAAGTTTTTAATAGAACACATTTATCATTAAGAAGTTGCATTGAGAGAGCTTTTGGTATTCTTAAGGCGTGATGGAAGATATTACAAAGAATGCCAAGATATTCATTAATGGATCAAAACAAGATTATTTGTTTGTGTTTTGTTTTGCACAACTATATTCGAATGAGCACAATTGGTGACCCAACTTTTCAATTAGTTGATGATGACCCTAATTTGGTACTCGTAAATGCATTTGAAGATATTGAAAACCATGTTGCAAATAATGAAATAAAGATGAGAAGTCAGGAAAATGAAAAACATCTGTAAGAATATTACTTCTAGTTTGATGGCGAGAAGATATCATTAGTAAAAAATCGAGAGCTTGTCTGATTTTTTGTCTGTTGTAATGCTCATGTCATCTCAAAAAGTGTTTGACACTTCAAATTGTGATTTGTAGAATGACAAATGAAAAAAATACAAAAAAACTACTCATAAAATATAAATGTAAATTCTCATTTCTTAATTTATAAAAAAACGAAGTAGCCTTTTTTGTCCAAAAAAAGATAGATGTAGAATATTTGCTTGTATAATGCGCGTATTTTATCAAAATAAAAAATAAAATAAAATCACACACAAATTAACATAAATGGAGGGATGTCTTTATATGTAATTTTACTTACAAACAGCTAACTATAAACAACTAAAGTTGCCAAACATTTAATTTTTAACAGCTAACACAAACAGCCGGTCAAAACAGCTAACGCAGTCAGCGAGTCAAACCAGCCAATAGTCAGGATCCAAACAAGGCCGTCGTAAATGTGTACAACGACATCTTATTGATTAAGCCAAATCACTCACTTCTCTCGAGTAGTGTTCTTGATCCATTCCAGATAATGGGTGCTGCCACCAACTATAGGCAATGCAATCACTTCAGGAACTCTGTACATAAACAAGGTCAAACCATAATTACCATCAAACAACACTCCAAATCAGATAGTTCTCTACTTCTGCCCATAATCCTTTGTGTGCCCGATGCATTTGGATCCCATGAAGTAACGTTACAGTGATTGTTGATCCATGGCAGCAAAGATGAGATTATGAAAAGTAACTTTATATGTTCATTGAATATAACTGTGGAGTATAGAGGCAAGAGAGAAATGGAAGAAAAGGTTTACTCGTATTCATGGTTGGCCTTGACGTGCGCGGTGAGATCTTCCAAGAGGGATTTCCTAGTTTTGATGATGAGCAGCTCTTCGGAATCACTCTGTATCTACTGCCAGAGAATGGGAAACACTTCTTAAAAAACAAAACCGTAAATGGATGGTGATTCACTTAAGCAGACTCATGAAAGGGGACATTACCTGTCCATTCCACTCATAAACTGATTCAACGCCTGCACATAAAATACAGTTTGATGCTTCTCAGAGTTACTCTTATCAATAATATAAGAAGATAAATTTAATATACTATGCTATTGGAGATTTAGCAAAGCTATAGATTAATTTAATATAATATGCTAGTTTAGTACTGTATTGTAGAATCAAAAGCTGAATTGTTGAGACCCTAAAGAGGGAATACAGATGCTCAGATACACACACGCACACATACAAATAAAAGAAAGATTATGCTCATCATCCATTACCAGAGCAAAGAAATGTTGTTTACACCATCAAGCATTTCCAACAAATGAGGAAATATTCCTCCGTCCAAAAACTGAAGTCACAGTATTTTGGCCACTTGATAACTTTTGTTTATTTGTGTTTTCATTGATCATTTGATAAAATAAAATAGTCATGTCACCTCTTGTTTTGTAGAACTTTTGACATAATTATTAAATATGTAAGTTTTGTTTTTTATTTCAATACTAATTTTTTTATAAAAAGATTTCAAAGAGTATGGGGTTTTGTCTTGTAATCCGTTTTGTGACTTTAGTTTTGGGACGGAGGGAGTAACTTTTAAATTTTAATTACAAAAAGAAAGATCTCAAAGTACAAGAAATGACTTAAACAACTGATTTGACCTGTCCCTACCAAAATATGCTAACATGCAAAAAATAAATAAAATATTGTGCTCTCTCTCTGATGTATGTTCCACTTTCCAGAAAATTTCTCAGTAAATCCATCCATTTGCCGAAAATGAAGAGATACTCAATTTGTTTGGAGAAAAAATCACGGTACATAGTATATTAACCCAGGCTAGGAAGAGCACCACTTGCCTGGTACTCTATTAACACATGCAGCAAGTTTCTCCTTGACTATGCTCTCGGCCAATTTCTTACCTGCAAAAAAAAAAATTAATAACAAGAAGAAACAGCAGAAAGTTGTGTATCATCATCTCATATGTAAGCATGTCTCATAATAAGAAATGAATAAGCTTGACAGCACAACTCATAAAAAAAGTCTACTCAAGAATGGTGGGTGTACGTGACACATATCATGTCACACTAATGAGGCCTGTTTTAAAAACTAATAGCAGTAGTCAAAATTATTCATAATATTAGGGCTTTAGAGCAGCATTCATTCTTACCTTCATGGGATTTGGGATGGGTATGATGAAATATATAAATACCCAATCGACTCGCATGTAATTTTTGAAACATTTGGTTGTAGACATATGGATGAGGTTAAACAATAATTTCCAAAAAAGACAAGATGAAAACATTACATGAGAGATCTTTGGGTTTCTCGCAAATGGTATGAGATGGGTTTGGGCTCTAAAATCAAACAGGTTTGGGACACACTTTCAAACAGGTTTAGTCTAGAAATGCATAATTGGTAGGGCACCCTATGCATTGTCATCCCTATAATATCATGCACGGAAGCATTCCAGGTTTCGGGTGATGCTGGTCAATTAAAATGCTTCAGCCATAAATCATACTCGCAAGCACCTCATGTTTGAATTGATGGGTTATGAGTCTTATGGCATCCCTCTAACCTCCAAACACTTCTAAATCACTTTGCGTGGTAAAAGCGTTCTCCAATCTATATTACAATTTACAGGTCTTCACTATACGGCATATGCTCCTCTTTATTTCACTAAGATGTGCAAAGGTGGATGCCATCTATTGTAGAAAACAAATTGGAACTCATACTACTCAATTAGTGTTCTAGAGTGTGGATGAGTAGCTTTGTGCAGCAATAGTTACCATAACTTTGTGTCACCTTTGTACTTCTAGATTAGCACCGCCATGATGAGCCTCCACTTGTCACGCTTCTCTGCTGTTTTCTTGGCTGTTTAGAGGATGAAGTTAACGTTGTCTACACGCTACTGTTCTACCTCCTCCCCAGGCACCGGTGGGTGGTGCCTCAATCTAGATCCAATTCGAGCGAGCTGCCTTAGGTAACTCCAACTTCTTTAGTGCTTCCCTTACTTACCCATCATTGACACATCTTCTTTGTGGGATGGATGTATTTTTGCCTCTTATAGCATCCTTATATGTTTCCTTAAACCTACTCTTCCCTCCACCTCCCCTCCTAAAGCACAGATCTCCTCAAAACACATTGGTTTAGCACTGAAATCAGCTTGTACATCTTCATTCCACCACCAAAACTCATGTTAGTCCCGGATCCACCCAAATGGCACTTGTAGTGTACCCTTGGAAATGTCCCTAATGTTCTGGACCATGCATGCTACTCCACATTTTCTCAATGCCTTAGCCATCTCTCTTAGAAAATTTTTGCATTGAAAAGTGTAGATGTTGCCCCTTTTTGAAAAGTGTGGGGGCAATATCCAAGAGGGTAACAAAAAATAATAGAAAACCCAATTGCCTCCATGAGAAAATCTAGCCAGAGATGCTTGTTTATAAATTATGGTGCTCAACCGTGCTCTACAAAAATGACGAACATAGAGAGAAAAGTAGAAGAACAGAGTAGTTGCAAAAACTCTCATCAAGTTGATTAGGTCAATTCGCACTTTGCACCACCAAAAAGGGAATTGTTAATCGTGTTGAACCCCCTGAAAAAAATTGGCAAGTGCACTGTCAAAAATAGTAATGCACTCTACAGTGCACGCACATTTCTGGTCTAATTCCATGTGAAAATTAAAAATGTCTGATCAGGCAGAAGAGCATATATTTTCGCCTGAGCGCTCCCCTTCCCCTCCAAAATCTATGACAGAATCTTCGTATGCCATGAAAATCATGAGTCAGACTCAACTTTTCTGTTGCAGTGGCAATGCACTAGTTTTGGTTGAAATTTTGGAAGTAAAAGGAGTGCTGAGAAGAAATATGCGTTGAAGAAAATTTGATTGAAAATTTGTCAGTTTTAATATTTGTGAGGGTGTACTTTGGAGTGTTTAGTATTTTTGAGGGTGCACTTATTAACTTATGGTTTCTTACAGTACAAAGTCATAATTATTCCCATTTTAAGGGCACAAATTGTGAATTACTCAATTGATTATTCGGAAACTTCTGAGAACCATTAAAAATTCTGAGTAAAATCTTGCTCTTAATATTCAAGGTCTAAATATGCAAACTAAAAAATCTAAATGAACACTAAGTTCTTCTAAGCGAAGACATGTGTCTTTTGTATTCGCACCAACCTTGAGGTAAATCAGTCTCGAAAGACATACTTTGAATGTTGTATAAAATGCATAGGGCCAATAACACAACTAATTACATATTACTAAACATTTACACCGGCACAGCTACGACTTATTGAATAATGAGTTTACTAAGTGATGGTCTATTCGGATTTGGGATTAAGCACTGACCACAAAATGAGAAATCTAATAGACTACTTCCTAATTCCTATTGTTTAAAACCTAAACCAAATCATGTAAAATCAATTTCTCTGTATTAAATTAGTATCACCACCAACCAAAATAATCAAACCAAAATTATAAAAAAGATGATTAGAGACTAACCAGCATCTTTGCTAGGAACAGTAACATAGACCACGATACTAGGCACAGTGTTATCGCTAGCTTCCATTCTTAAGCTATGAACACTAGTAGTACTCTGTGATCGCCCGCCTAGTTCTGATCTGAAACACAAGAGAGATTAGCGAAACCCCAGATCTCAACTTAACTACAAAACACGAAAGATTGAATGTTTTTAGGAACAGAAGCAAAGAAATGAAGGAATTTGTTAACCTGAATAGTGGGGTAAAGGGGAGAGACTGAACGCAGCCTGTTTTGGAGAAAGGGACGGAAAGATTGGAGAGACCGAAAGTCAGCACACAGAACGCTCCGACTAAGGGCAACGGGCGAAGTATCAGTGTGGAGGAAGCTATAGTTGAGAGTCTCGAGGCCATTTGGTGGTGAGGACTCTCTCTCCAACCATCAAAAGGAAAGGAGTAGGTATGTAGGAGCACTACTCATAAGTAAAATACTTGGACCATGCTACACTTACACCACAAAAAATACCCCATTTGTACACCACAGGTTTGCACAAATATTTCGATGATTTACACCGACACAAGTATTGGTGCGTTAATAAAAATTCACACGGACACAAATGTTGGTGCATTTAACAAAAATTAGTTTTACACCAACACAAAGTGTTGGTGCAAAACTACGGGGTACAAATTGGGGTACAAAACTTGGGGTACACATAGCATAATCCAAAATACTTTCTCCCTTTCATAAAATACTTTTGTCCTAATTTTTTGCACTTTTTATAAAATACTTCAAGCCCCCTAAAATAAAATACTTTCAAAATAACTTCTACCTGCAATAAACTACGTAATGAGATATATTTTAGATACTTTAGTTGGGAGTACAAGTATTTATTGGCATGCGCAAAAAGTTAAGGCGGAAGAATTTTTTGAAAAGAGGGAGTAATACTCATTATCGCACAAAATATAAGTGTTCATTTTCACACATTTGTTCAATACAATTATAATTTTCATTTACAAATAACGTAGTGTTCATTCTAAAACAAAGTAGTACACATTCTCAAATAACATAGCATTCATTCTCATACTAGCAATAAGTAGGTGAAGCTTGAGCAGCCAAACTCTCTTTCTTTTCTGACCCGACCAAAGTAGCGCTTGCTACAGGTAGGGATTTCTCATCCATAAGAGGGACAGAGGACAAGGTACTAGTTTGGGCTGGAACTCTTCTTCATCAATCGAATTGGATGGAACAGAGGGGCGGTTCCTGGTTCTCAGACTGGAAGATTACGTTCTCTGTTATACGCTCTCTGCTCTTTGGTCGAAGACTGGACGCATAGCTAAAGGCACTCCTCAGCTCTGGCGACGACTAATCATTTTCAGACAATGGCGGCTGACGGTGGTTTCTAGTCCAATTTGTAGGGGTGGACACAGTACGGTTTTGGGACGGTTCCAGTTCCGGAATCGCCGGTTCCGGTACCGCCACCCCTTGGTACTGGTATCGTGACCGGACCGGGTGGTACCGGTACCCGGACCGGTGGTTCTGGTACCGGACCGGCCGGTTTCGACCACCCCCAAATATATATTTTTTGCTTTTTTTTTAAATTTTTAAAGTGTAAAATTATAAATTTGCAATTGTTAAAGGAAAGAATGAAATAAAAAATCTAAAAATGTAGTTGTTATTTAAATATTGTAAAATGAGTAATACACAAACTGAAGAACAACTACATTTAATATCCTGACGGTTCAAAAAAAGCGACGAGATAAAGAACCGTAAAGAAACCCTCGAAGGAGCTTATATATCGCTCACCTAAAAAAACTAATTACATATTTACATAATTACATTATTACATTATTACATATCTACATTAACATAAAAAAAAGTTTATAACTTATTCCTTAGAACTCGGACTTCCAACTGTGGTTGCATTCATGTAATGCTCCGAATTGAATTCGTACCCTGACTTTTGAGCTCGACGTCTTGCCAAGAGCCAATCTTGGTTGCAAACAAGTGTTTCAAGAGATTCATCGTTAAGACAACTTCAGTAGTCGGTTAGAATGTTGCTGCTAGCACTGAATTCTCGTTCCACTGCTACGGTTGATACCGGGACGAACAACACTTGTCTTACTAGCATTCCGAGACATGGGAACATGTGTTCGTTCTACTAGCATTCCGAGGACGTCAAACTCCACGTCGTCGTCGTAATCGAATGGCACCTCTTGGTACATAGCAAGTTCGTTGTGCGAGCTTACTGTCTTGCTAGCATACCGGGACGGACAACACTTGTCTTGCTAGCATTCCGAGGACGTCAAACTCCACGTCATCGTCGTTGTAATTGCATGGCACCTCTTGGTACATAGCAAGTTCGTTGTGCGAGCTTACTGTTGTACCACTTGAACTCGTCGAAGGCTGAGCACGCTTACCTTTCTTTGCAAGAAGCCCACCGACTATTCCTTTAAAACCTTTTTTGATTTGGGAGCGGAGGAGGTGTTGTTTCTTCTGGTACATTACTGTATAACCCTTGATATTCCTTAAACAAAGCCTCAAAAAGAGTTATAACATTATCTCTTTCTTTTTCTCATTCTATTAAATGACTGTAGTAATAACTATTTTCATCTAAAAAACAACTGTAGTAATAGTCAATTAGAATTTTATAATTTTCAATCTTAAAGCATGGATCACAAATAATACCTATTTTATAAATATCAGGATTGTACAAATAATAAGCACACCATTTATCTTTCATAGGAGAGACATAAGGGTAGAAATCTTCATCAGCCAAACTTTCACGAAAACATGTTGCGATTGTAACGCACTCTTTAAAAAAATGAAATTGTAGTTGGTTGGTAAACATGCAAAAAAGTAAGAGTTGCATTATTAAAAACATCTAATATGGCATTCAATTTTTCAACAATAACAAATTCAATAGGTGAAATCATTAAAAGAAGTTCGTCCCTAAAAAATTCAGCAAGTTCCTCTTTGTAGCTTAGAATCTGTGCTATCAACTTGTATGTACTATTCCATCTAATGTTGATATCTTTGGCAAATATTATTGTTTTACCCGAGACCCAGGGTAGTCTAGGATATAAACTTAAGAGGAGGAAGAAGGAGAGAAGGATGTAGAAATATAGGGGAGGCTGAATTCAGGAGAAATAAAAGGAGAGGGAAAGAAGCATTTATCAAGTGAATAATAAGAGGAATCACACACACTTATCTTCACTCGGGTTAAACTCTAGTATTTAAATAAGGAATCACTCAACTTATTTAATATATCTAGAACCTAAAACTCCCACTTAAGAGAACCACTCTTAAGATATAGAATTAGGATTTAATATATATATATAAAACTTAGAGAGAGAGAGAGAGAACTGAGCAAGAAACTTATATTATCACAATATATATTTTACAAGCTGATTAATACAATGAATCAGGGCTGAAATATATAGGCCAGGGAATGGAGAAAACAATACAACAAACATGATTACATGATAAATAAAATACAACAAAGGAAACTTCCCACTTCTTTCCTACAAAATAAAACAAATGCTGTGCATGTGTTAATATCCCAAATGAGTTGAATTCAA